TTTTAATGTAGAAATGAGTCTATTAATAAACTTACCTTTTAATGTAGAAATACGAGTTCATTAATAAACCTACTTTTTAAATAGATTTTTGGACTTAATTTTTAAAGATATGTAATCCCTAACACGGAGATCATGAATATCAAAAAAATAAATAAATTTTAAAAACTAGAAATAATAATTCTAGTAAAAAAACATTTGAACTGTTAGTTTCGATTGTTTTTAGATGAAACACTTATTTGTGTTCATCTTTAAGATTAATGCTTTACACTTTCTAGACTGCATATATAGTCCTGAGGTCCAACGCACATGAAACAATTTTCCATATATATATGGGTTTATCTAGAGTTAGCAGCCCCTAAAAAATACAAAGGTTAAAATTAAAAGGGGTTGTGATGGATGTATTTATCAAAAAGATCATTGTTTTTTATTTAAAATTTTATTTTAATATGTAACTTACCGATTAAGTAGGAGCAAATTTGAAATTTCCACAAGGTACATGGCATTTTGGAAGTTAATGTTCCAAAAATTTTTTTGTAATAAAAATTTCAACTTTACTTTTTATAGAGATAACAAAAGTGCCCATTGTCTTGTAGTAATATTTACAAATTTACTCTTACTTAATGATGAATATGTCATAAAATATATTTTTTTTAAAAAAATAGACTATAAAATTAATAAATCTACCCTTCACAACTCTCTCTATCTTTAACTTTTATAATTTGAAGGGTTGTGAAATTTAGATCGTGTATATATATATAATTTTTTAAAAGATACACATCACAAAAAAAAAAAAAAATCTTATCATTTGATGGCACTTAGGACAAATCATACAATCTACTTCCTATTTCTATAGTGTTGCTATATTCTCCTGCATAATTTAATTTCGACCATAGACTAGAAAGAAGATACAAAATAATACAAAAATATAAGCAAGTATGGCGCAAGAGATAGAAAGAAGGGAGATGTACATAAACTTACATGCAAGACATAGAGAGAAAGGAGATGAACTTCTATCTATGCACAAATTTTAGGAGGTCCTGTATTTTATGCTTTGGAAGAAAGATATCATCCAAAATTTAGAATATAATTATATAATAACTTAATATTATTTTAACATAAAGTTAAGACCCTGGACGTATGCTCTAGACACTTGTTAGCTTAGGTCATGCCACTGATAGCTTAGGAGATGACGTAAAGCTATTTTTAACTACATTTTAACTCAGTTTTGTATTGGAAGAAATTATCACAAATATATTTTAATCTTCGTCTGTTTAAAAGAAAATTAATTTTTATAAACCTCACTCGTATCTTTTTTTTTCGATTTTGGATTTTTTTTTAATCAAAATAACATTTACGTCGTATCACCGTGAAGCAAAATTACGATACTTAAAGTACTGTAAAACTTAAAATGTTATACAGTATTTTAAGTAAAAGCTAAAATGTTATACGGCATTTTAAGTACCGTAAAAATATTTTAAGTATTGTAAAATCTAACTCATATTATACAACAATATGGCATTTTAAGTACCGCAAAAACTAACCCATATAATACGGCACTCCAAATGCTGAAAACCCTTTTCTACTATTTATATTTACATCTTTAAGCTTGTTTATATTTATCTCTTTCATCTCTTTATTGTGTTTATTATGTTTATCTCCTTTTGTCTTCTTAATTCTTTGTAATATTTATCTCTTCTTTCTCTCTCTAATTACTTTTTATCTCATTTTTCTTTCTCTCTCTAATTACTTTTTATCTCATTTTTCTTTCTCTAACTCTCTTTCTCTCTCCAAAGAGATTTGTACTAACAACTTGTGCCTACCTTACCTTCCCCTATAAAAACTCCCTTCAACCCCATCCTTTATGAAATTTAGACAGAGTTGTATTTGTATTAGAGAAAAAAGATTCAGACAGAGAAAATGTTTTAAGGCATTTTGAGTGCCGTATAATATGGGTTCGTTTTTATGGTACTTAAAATACCGTAAAACACGTGTTAGTTTTTACCTTACTAAAAATGTCGCATAACATGGGTTAGTTTTTAGGGAACTAAAAATGCTGTAAAACATGGATTAGTTTTTACGGTAATTAAAGTACTGTAATTTGTTTCACGGCAATATGACTGTCGTGATGGTTATTTTGGTAAAAAAGAAACACTCAAAATTGAAAAAAAATTGTGTAGGCGAGGTTTATGAAAGTTGATGTTTTTTTTTCTAAATAAGTACAAATTAAAGTATATTTGTGATAGTTTTCCTAAATAGAAATATTTGATAGCTTATTCATGCAATCAAAATTTTTGTATCTTTACTTTTTCCAAGTTTACTATTTTTTTAAAGAGTAATGATCCTTTTTTTAAAATTTATTAGTTTAAATGTCCTGTTATGCTATCTTTTCATTTCAATTTCTCTCACCTCTAATAACACATATAAGAAGCACTAAAACATTTTTTTTTTTTGGGTAAGTTAAAGAAGCACTAAACTTACCCATAATGATGACCTATATAGAGTTTTTATCATCATTAAACGGTTAAACCTATTTCTTTATTTAGTCGGTGTTAAACCTATTTATTTGTTTACCTATATAGAGTTTTATCATCATTAGACTTCCTTGTTTTTATATTCAATTAAGCTTGGTGAAGATTTCAAATAAAAATTTGTATTTTTTTCATTATCATTAAACATTTATTATAATTTTCAATTATTTATTATAAAATTATAAATATTTCAAACAAGCATACCAATTTTTCTTTTAACTCTCAATATTTAATTTAGGCAATTTTGTGCTTGCAAAAATATTTAAGACTGATTTATACTTATATTTTTCTTTTAAAATATTTAAAATAATTGTGTTGTCTTAACCGAAAAAAAAAAAATCAACTTTATTTTATTTCTTTAGAAATTTAAAGAAATGTCTAATTATATGTACGAAAATTTATGCTTTAACAATAGTTATCACCAATTTTTGAGTTCTTAAATTCTGAGTTTTCAAATATATTTCAAAATTATGTCCATCATTTTTCCATTTTTCACTATTTAATGCTTATTATAAAATTGGAAAAATAAAAATAATTTTATTTTAAAGGGAAAATTTCAAAGTATTTTATGCTTTCCTTTCTTACTATAAAATTAGAAAAATAAACCTAATTTTATTTTAATGGGAAATTTATCAAAGCACCTCTTCGAGAGAGTATTTAACATTTTGCCTTTAAAATTACTGAAACACAAGACCATGGGTTTTCCGAGTGTATTTTGAAAAGAAATTTAAAAAAATGTTAAACTGTTCATCTCTCATAAAGTTCTCTCATGGGTAATTAGGTAAGGAGCGGGTTTCTATG